GACGAACCGACCAGCGATTTTCCCACCAAAGGCCGTCAAGTAAAATTTTCAAACCTGTATAGACTAATGCTCAACGTTTTCAACCGGTTTATCTCGTTGGCCCGGTCGAATAAGTGAGTTGAGAGTTAATGGTCTGATCGGTTAGCTCGGATATATAAAAAAGAATTTCTATATTGCTTATACATTTATAAACTATATCAAATTTCATCTAATATTACAGCGAAATAATAATTCGTATTCATCCAATATACCGTGAAAATTCACACACACTAATATAATTTCATTATTTAGATGTTCAACTCAAAATTCTAAAAAACGAGTTATGAAGGAGAAAATTGAAAAAATTATTTAGATATTCAACTCAGAATTCTAAAATAAGAGTTATGAAAGAGAGAAAATCGAAAAAAATGCCCATTTCACAAACCAAATGAACGACAACTTGTGACTTCCAACTCGGGAACATGATTGTGGTTTGTGGAGCGACCTAAAACTGCATGGTGTACGTTTTCCTTACCGCATACTGCATACAGATCAAAGCAGATCAACCTGCGGGTGAACAACCTTGTTCCCATGGAGTGCTTTAAATGCCATAAGTTAGAGCGCTTCAGAGATGAATGCCTTGGTAAGTTCATAAAAGTTTTGGCCACTATTCAAGTTTCAACCCGCAGAAAATATTTACATACTGCCTCTGCCTATTATTGCGCGCTTACAGCCTTTTCCAGTTTCCCTTCATCAAATGAAAACCTGTTCTTCTGAGGATTACAGATTCATCTTTAAAAACAGTAGCTGGATGACACTAAATGGGTGATTGAAGCAGACATTCGAATCTGCTTCGATTACAAAAAGGTTCTTTACTTTCTTTAACTCAAATGAATTGTAGAAAGAATGAACTGATATCCGCCAGAGACCGTCTGGTGGTTGAAAAAACACCAGAATGCTGGCTTTTCAGAGCCCTGGAATGGACTCCAGATTGTACTTATGAGGCAACGCTTCAACTTCTTTGCCGTCCTGGGATTTTGGCTTCTTCACTGCCGAATCAAGAGCCTGCAAATATGTATAAGATGATGATGCACGGGGATGAGGTGAAGGGCTCGGACTGCTGATTCTGCTCGCAAGGAATCGTCGGATTAGACCCCTGAGGAAGGGAGCCATTGTGTCTGGCTCGTATTCAAGGTAGTACATTATTCCTCCCATGCAAGCGCAAAAGAGTGCTACCTGCGTCATTGATTACAAACCCAGTATGTCTTACTCAGTTATAGCAAAAGACTATCAAAACAGTTAACTTCCATGGCTGAATAAATGTGGAGCTAAACAAGAAGCGCAGCTAACTCATCTAAATGGTTAAACCCTTTCGTATATCATCTATCTCTCGATTGTAAGGCGAAAAATAACATTTTAAAGAACCCATCGTTCATGTTCAAACGATTCATTAAATAAACTAGTTTTCTAACAAGATGAAAACACAACACAGGCGAGTTATACATAAAAACTATAATTACCTCAGCATTCTTTAGCTTAGGAAGTAGGTGGCGGTTGACTAAGATGTACCACAACGAATCTCCAGCACGAGGAAGGACATACAGTGCAAGTTCTGCACGTCTAGACTTTTTCTCAAACAGTACAGAAAGTGCCGATAGTCCACCGGCTACCCAGTACAACGACTTGTGGTCTCTCACAGCAACTTTCCTATGCATACATATCACACTCTAGCACCATCCAACACACACTAATAAGATCATGTACAACAGTTAGGGGGAAAGAAGATAAGGAATTTTGACTGCATGCCCACCTGAAAAATTCCAACAAATGCAGACAAGAAAGTTGTGGAGCGAACAGCATCCCTCAGAGCAAGCCAACATGTCCGTGCAGGTGCATCCATGAACTTCAAAGGATATCAATGGCATCAACAAACAAATAAGGTACACTTGTTCACTGATCTTTCAGAAAACAATGGGAGTGTTTGTTTTAGCTAACAAATAGATAACTTAAAAATAAACTGACCAAAGAGTTGTGAGGCAAACACACATTCCAATCAAACTTTTCAAAACAGCCATTGACCTCAAATCTCACAAATTTTTAAAAATAAAATTCACTCAGTAATAAATTTTCTAATCCAACTTCTTCCCTTCGAGATAAAAATCCACTCTTTCATTAATACTCATAATCCCAACAATCGCCATTTCTTTGTCATAAAAGAAATTGTCCATCATTTCATCAGCTACTCTTTTATTGATAGAAAACATCTCATATCTTACAAGCACAACTTTATCTAACCTCCCCCCCCCCCCCCCCCACCCCCCAAAAAAAAAACATTTATCTTCACTAACTAGAACTTAAAAAAAAAAAACTCAAGCTGAAACAAGCACACCCGTAGAAGAGAAGGAAGGAGTTAATGGAGTCAAATAATGTACCTTTTGCAAGTGCAGCACAACGTATGGTACAAAAGTCAGTGAGAAGTAGAGGGGAAATGTTTTCCTGAATGTAGCTGATGCTGCATTCCCGTGTTGAACTAAACACGAATCTGTACCCGGATGAATAATAGAGCAAGGGATGATGGCAGGGGCTTCTCCCAACTTCAGAGGGTTTAGCTTTCCCTTAGTAGATAAATAAGCGGATAATGCAGCAATGTCCACAGGACCACCTCTACAAGTTTCTCTTACAGCCTTGTAGACTGGCTGTGCAACTGGCCCTGTCTTCTGAATAAAGTCGTGATATGCTTTTGGCAAGCTCTCAGGCCGCATTACAAAGGAATACATAACCTACAGCAAGACATTGAGAAAAATCATCGTGGGAAACGGAAATAAGCAGAAGTGAGAAGAGTAGGGGACCTCGGACAAAAATTCCAGTCCTATTTCTAGAATTACCAACCACATTACAACACATAGTTCTTACAAATATGAAGATCAGTGCTTCAAAGGATGTTCTATTCAACTGTCGGCACATACCTGGGCACACGCCAAAGAAAAGAGCAATGTGTCTCCGTGTCTCCAATGGCTACCCCAAAGGTGAAACTTGTTCTTGGATTTAGCAGAATTATAAGCACACTGATGACAGGAAGCAAACAATTAGCAATAACTTGAAAAGAAATTATCAAAATCCCCCCAGTAGTAGAAACGACTTCAACTACAGGGATGGGTTATGTACCTGAGCTAATCGAGCCAGAAGATAAAGAGCAAGCGTACGCCTCCTGTTGGGATCATCTAACGCTAAAACCGACAAACCAGCAACCGAACCTGCTAAAATTCTGCTCCAATCATCCCCTTAAAACAATGTCACAAAATAAGGAATATGCCCCCATCACGCCCCCAACAGTTGCAGGAAACAGAACAAAGAGAGATCGGTTACTTACGCGTTCCAAGGGGTCTCCTTCTTTCTGCACTTCCTCAACAAGCACCTAAGTGCATGATAAGAGCCCGTGAATCCACCAAAGAGCAAACCTACTCGGCATGCCTCTTCTCTTACGATAAGATCCTTCTCTGAAACTAGTTGCTGCCCAGCCACAAACATAGAAACTAATTCAGAGTTCACACACTACCGCCCCACAATAAAAATAATTTCCCCCCTCCATCAACTTGCATACAATAACAGAGAAATTCCCAACCGCCGCCCGCAAATTGCACATAGAAATACTAGAACCGCATACGAAATTCCGGCATAACAGTGGATCAGTGCGCAATTCGAGTGGGGGAGCGAATAAACGAGGAGAGAGGATTGAAGGAAAACCTTGAGATCGAGCAAGGACGAGTAGGACTGTCCCTTGGCGAGCTTGAAAGCGCGGAGCAAGATGCCGATTCCGACGCGGACGCCGTAGGAGAGGAGAAAGCTCTGGCAGAGGTTGCCGATGGCATGGGCGACGCAGGATTCATCGGGAGGATGATCACAGGGAGGGTAATTGGCGAGCCCACGAGCGGCTTTCCGCTGACGGCGCTGCAGCTCCTGGATGGCCTCCCGGAGTCGCTCCTCCGCCTCGCGAAGGCGGCGCTCGGCGTCGGAGTTGTCGTTGGCTGAGGATACCGGAGGCGGGGACGGAGGCGAAGTTGGGGAATCGGGGAGGGAAGGCATCGGGAGCGAGCTGGCTGCAGGAACGGTCTCAACACTTTTGCACTTTGTTTGTTGACAGTGCACAATAAAATTGAAGAAGAAGAAGAAGAAGAACAAATTACCATGCTACCGCATGGTAATGAGAAGAAACAGAGAGCTGGTAGGTTGGAGCCTGGATGGGAGGAAGAAGACGAGAATGGAAATGGCGATTACGGAGACGGGAATTGAAGTGAAGACGCCGGAAAAGGAAAGTGGGGAATTGAGAAGGAAAGCCTATATATTTGCAGGGTTTTTTTTTTCCCTTCTTCCTTCTTTAACTTCCTTCCTCTTTTTGGGCTTTTGGATTTTATCTCAACTACCTCTCTTCTTTCGAGGTGGTGGGTATTCGGTCGGTTCGATTAAAATGTGATCGGAATGATTTCGAGCGAATAGTCGACACCTTCTTCATATTAGTTAACCATCTTCATCCTTGTCTTTTTTTTTTTTTGCCCCTCTCCTCTCTTGCGATTTATTTTTTCTCGTGTCTCGCAAGGGGCGCTATACTTCGATTTGGAGAAGATCGAGAAAGACTTCTCCTCTCACATGATCGATTCTCATGATTTGTAATTGTTTTCCCCTGATTCATTGTAGCAATCGACGCAATTAAGCTATGAGCCACTAGCATGTCAATTCAATCTGCACCAATTTTCTTGGTTTTGATCGATTTTGATAAGTTCATTTCTCTAAAATTTTATCTCTGCTAGACGGCTATCTAGTAGCCGACTGTGATGTCGACTCTTACTTATCAAACTAGGTCCAACCGAACGGTCGGATAACAATTCACGAGTAAAGACTCCGTATAGCTTAGCCAAGAGTGCTTCAATTCTCAGTGCATTTCATTGCATCAAAATTGATCTGGTGTTCTAAGTTCCAAAATTACCCTAGTTTACATTAAGCATCACATCAGAGAGTAAGCAGTACACCGTTTTCTTGCATCAGCTCCGGATCTTGCTGAGAACCCGCGACTCAGACTGCCGAGTCTAGATCTTCTCTTCTTCTTGTTCCCAGGACGCCCGCCACTGCTTGTCGTAAAACGTGGCCTCATCCGCCAGTTTCCTCAGCTTCTCCAAATCTCCACTCCGCCTCAGCAAAATTACCCCGACAATCGTCACCAACAGCCCCGTTTTACAGACCCAGTTCCCGGTCTGACCAACCAGACCCATCCCGGTCAGACCGTCCACCGCGTACGCCGTGAAGAACCCTATCATTGCCGCTCGTCCTGCAAATTTTGTTCCACAACATTATATATCGAACTTCTGAAAACCCAATAACCCAACATGACGAAGAAGAGCAACAGTGAGAGAAAAGAGCGTGTCAAAAGAAACCATTCAGCAGCTCTGCTTCAGGGAGATACGATCTCTTCAGCCAAGCCCACCATGGAATGATTGAGCTCCTGAAGACCACGGGTTCTTCGTTCCTTGTTGCTTCAGGAAATAATTCCAGGTGCTTTCTTCTTTTAGCCTCTGCAAGATGAAAATTGACAATCATAGACTGCATAAGATGAACTCAACAGTACAGAATAGTAGAAATGGCTCACCAGCAGTGATCAGACAATCCCAATCCATTTTCCCATCTGCAACGAACATGTTGAGATCCCAGGTTCCCTTCTTCCACCGTTCATCCACGAATTTCATGCCACCGGATTCTGCTTTCGCTTCTGACCCATGCTCCTCTGCATCTTTGCCAGTGTCGTCGTTGTCAACCTTTGGCACCACAATGTGGGAAGCAGGCTGTGCAGCCATGGCTGCTGGACTTGAACCCTTTTGACCATCAACTGTTACAGTGGTAACATGGGTAACTTGTTTTGAAGCCAAAGACCGTGTTTTTGGTCTGGCGTGGGCAGCTGGAGGTTGTTGCTTCTTTGTAGCATGATACGAGCTGCAGCAGCAGCAAGCGCTTTGTATAGATGCAGATATTGCAATGGAAGCCATGGAATTTTACCAAGGTTCCTTTTTCTCTTGTTTGGATTACTACTGTTTGGTCTTTTGGTAGTGAGGACTGGTGGGAGAGGATAGGGGGAATCGGTTAGTGAACACAAGCCCCCATGCTGTGCAAGATAAAGAAACTTATCTTTTGCACCTGCAATTTCTGTCAGTAAAACAGTATGGGCTATAAGCTTTTTTTCCCCATATTGTAATGTTCAAAAAAAAGTCAACAAAGCTCACCAGTTAAAGCAAAATCATCTGGCATTGATTTGAATCACTCATTGAATAACTTCCAGGGTGACAATAATGCTTATTGAAAGAGTCTACTTGGAAGGTGTTTAACTGCACTATGAACCTTAATAGCTAGCTGCTTGAAATATAAATCCACATGATTCAACCACTAGACACCACATTCTCAGGAGACAAAGGAATGGGGACTTGTTTAACAATGGCTTCTGACTAAATGTAATCAGAAGCTTGGACTGCAATCATGCTTCCCATCCTCTTAACAGGGTGGCTCGAGCAACCCGGTTCAACCCGAGAGTAAACGCCCCCATCCGAAGATTGCACTCGTGTGTCTGGCACATGCCCTTGATGTTCTTGAAGGCTTTAGTCATGTATTTCTTGAGTTCCTTGTTCACCTGTTCTTCTTCCCACATAAACCCTTGAATGTTCTGCACAAATGAAATTTGGAAGATTTCTTATTTGTCGACTTGGTCCTCAGGGGGGACAATAATGCCCAAGAAAATGTACATCCCACACAAACTGTAACTATTATTACCTGAACCCACTCAAAGTAACTCACAGTAACACCTCCAGAATTTGCATAGATATCAGGAAGTATAATCACTCCTTTCTTGGATAGAATCTGGAATTTCATTAACTCTTCATTTATCAGAAGCAAAATCCAAAACTTTCAAGGTTCATCCCTCAATGGATGAACCGAATAAAAAGTAAGAAAACGAACATAATTCTGACCTCATCTGCTTCTGGGTCAGTAGGATGGTTTGCTGCCTCTATAATGTATTTGGCTTTTACATGAGTAGCATTTTCTCTGCAAAAGGCCAAACCAGATTTTGATCAGCACAGGAGTTTTGGTTAAGAACAAACTGAACATGGAAAAACAAAAGAGTGGAAGGACAGGGAAATGGGATTTACTTGTTCAAGACTCCTCCCAAGGCGCAAGGGACAAGGACATCGCACTCATGCACCAGAAGTTCATTAGGGTTCATAGACTCTCCACCAGGGAAGTTGTACAAACTACCAGTGGATTCCTTGAACGCGATCAATGCAGGTATGTCGATTCCATTTGGATTCTTTACTGCACCAGTAATGTCACTCACTGCTATAACCTTTCCACCTTTCTCATGGAAGATCTTTGCTGCCCATGATCCCACATTTCCAAAACCCTACATAGAAATTCCCATTGATACAGTTTCATTACAAACCCCCAAACTATAAATCTCTAAGAATCAACCTCAGAGACTCGAAGTGTCATCTACCTGAATCGCAAAAGTCAGACCCTCAATGGACTTCCCATATTCAGCCAGCAAAGCTTCTGTAGCAAAAACGACCCCACGACCTGTTGCAGCCTCCCTACCTAGCGATCCACCAAGATCCTGACATCCACAAACACAATTATTTGACTGTAAGAGAGCACTAGAGAACAGGACAATACAACATATGCACAATTATATGACATCTTGCATTTTGACAGAACAATTTTTTTACAAATCCATCTACACTTCACATGATTTCTTAAATTATGTTTTCCAAATATACAGCTAGCCAAGCCAGTCCTTAACCAACTCCTGAAAGACCATTTTCAGCTACCACTTACAATGGGCTTTCCTGTGACAACCGCTGGGGAATGACCATGGAACTTGGAGTATTCATCCAATATCCACGCCATGGTCTGTCGGAATAATCACCATTGTACATAAGCCAATCTCAGTCAGAACCATCATCAGAAAACTGTACAGACAAATTAAGTTTCAACAGAAAAGGGGAGGAATACAGTTGAAATATGAATGACCTGAGAATTAGTCCCCATGTCTGGAGCTGGAACATCTGTATGGGTGCCAATTAGATCATGAATCTTCTGAGTGAAGACACGAGTTAGACGCTCCAACTCGCTCGTGCTCAAATCCCTCGGAGTGCATCCTATCCCTCCTTTCGCTCCACCATATGGAATATCTGCCACAGCGCTCTTCCATGTCATCAATTGAGCCAATGCATTTACCTCATCTGGGTCGACCTATTGCAGCAGTAAAAAAAAAAAAAGTGAACCCACTCTGTCAAAATCTGAGAATCAAAACAGTCGCATAAGCTGAACCAAGAATCCCCAGATTGTAGAACAAACGCCAATCGTCACTGCATCGAACGTAATCGAAAGAAACAACAACAGAAACAAGAAACGACAGAAAGGAAAACTGCTACAAAGAAGAAAACAGATTCATGCACACACCTCAGGATGATATCGGATTCCTCCCTTCATGGGTCCTCTAGAATTGTCATGTTGCACTCTGAAGCCAATGTAGGACACCAGAGTCCCATCATCTTTCGGGATTGTGCACTCCACCTGCGATTGAAATCCCCAAACAAAACACACTTCATTTTGCGGGATTCAACACCCGACAGCGACGGGAAGAAGATTCAATATCAGAATCAAAGATGAAGGATGAGATCGCACTACAATAAAAAAAAAAAGTCCCGCACCTTGATCTCCCTGAAGGGGATCAGAAGACTCTTCTCCACCTTGGAGTCCAAACCAAGAATCCTGGCTGCAGCTCTGAAATTACGGTTGGTGGCCGCAAGAGCATTCATGGCTCTGCTTAGTTTTTTTCTTCCTAATATCAAAATCGGACGACTACCCAGATGCTGGAACGAAGAGAAAAATGGACCCAGATCAGAAAGGATGGATCAACACGCAAAAATCAGGGAAGTCTGTTACTGGCGCTGACAATCGAACAGAAGAAAAGCGAAAAGGAGAAATGACAAACGGGTGACGAGATTTGATGGTGGGGGACTGGGAAGAGAAGGGTCTGATTATTTATATGGTGTGCCAAAGGATGCGGAGATTAGATTGGGAGAGGAGAGCAGATTGAGATTAATTAAAGAAGGGAAGATTTTGAATGCGAAATGAATCAGCAACAGCAAGCAAGCTGGCCATAAGATTTTCAGAAGTCTAGGCGTCTAAAAACAAATGCTGTAGAAACTGTATCGTACTCGCCGATTGGACAGGAAATTCTAATTTCGGACTCAAATTAGTCATTTATTTTAACCGTAAGTAACAATCGAACTATGGTTAAATTACAATTATAGTAAAAAATAGTAAAATACTATCATTCTGACTTTTTTTTTATACAACCTCCGTTATGATTTCACAATCCTACATAGATATTGAAGAAGTAAGCTAATTAAAACGCGTACTAATTAAGAGATAAGCTTTCCTAAATTACTTAAATGCCTAGTCAGATTGATAACAAAAGGAATAGTTGAGGTGCTGCTTAGATGCTAATTTTTTACTCACTCATTATTTACTCACTTTTTTTTCTTCTATAACTAAGAAAACAAAAGAAGAAAAGCTAACGTCCCTTCGGGGCATCCGATAAAATTGGAAGAAGGAAAGATTGCTAACTTCATTTTACAGTCCAAATCTATTATTAGTGTGCATATAGGATTTTATGTAAACATGTGCTTAAATCGTTGCATTGTACATTTGTACTTTTGTAATCTACTATTTTTACACGTTATAATTATCACGACATACATTCAATACTTATTAATGGCCGAATGTGTGATCCACGTTTAAACACCTGCTTACGCCAACAACTTATTGCACATATCCGTTTCACACTCCACCTATCAGAGCTATTGACCAACCTTTTTATGAATTCGTTGTGTTTTCTCATTACAGCTCATGGAAAATTGTGCGCACAGCTTAGAATGATGATGAAAGTCTCATTTTCTTCTTCATGGTAATCCATAAAAGAATTTTTAAGGATAAGGAGAAACTAAATAAGAATTATTAGTTGTAACAGGAAAGTGACATAGACGAATGATACAATGATTCCTAACGTATGCACGTCCACAAATGTAGTAACTTTCAGCATGACAACAATCTTGAAGATCATAATTGGAATTATATCATCCATGGGTTTGCCAAAACAATGGACATCAATGTACATATAACCTTATAAATAATAATAAAATTTATTTTTCTATGCAAAAATATTTAATGTCCGAGTTAAAACGTAAGAAATTTGGTCGGTTAAAAATTAAGGGCTAAAAATTAAATCTAAAAGGAAAGAGAAACAATGAGTGAGAAAAGAAGTATGATCTGATACAATTTTTTCACAAATTCCAAAATTATCTGAGTATTAGACTAACTCCAATCCAACAAGATAAATTTAACTTCCCAAATTGCCAAATGTCCATTTTTAGTTTCTCAAAACACATTTTTTTCTCCAACCTTACAAATCTTATTAACTTCCCCCACAAATCAGAAGCATACGGTGCCGTTTGCAAACCCTACAAGATCTATCAATGTCCAAACGGTGCCGTTTGCGCCGGATCCGTACGCGGTCTACGACTATATGCAGAAAAGAGGAAGGCTGTGGAGTATAAAGCAATAAAATGTTAACAACAATCCAATATCCAAACTCATTAAGAATCCTCTAAACAGAAACATAAGAAATGGTCACAAACATTACTCTACCGCTTCCTGTCACTTCCAAACTAAGCCCTCTCTCCAAGCACAAAGAGATAGATTGATCACACTTTGATCTCCTCCCCAGGCTAACATTATATCAATAGGAGGAGAGAAGATGGGGTCATTCCCTACCTCAAATTATGAATGCAAAATCCTTTTTATCCGCCCATGCGAGCTCCAGTGATATAAATGGTTTCTGAAGGACAATTACAGAATCATCGACTGTTTTTTCTTCTCTCGCAACCATGGCCTCAACTACCGCCGGTGTCCAAGCCATCAGTATGGTCTGTATCGCGTTGGCCGCCTGAATCTGGGAACCCTCCTGTCAAGATTGCATTTTTGTTTCAGTAAACTTCCCCATAGCGAACAGTGAAAGATATAATGAAAGTAATGAAGACAGGATACAGGGGGTTAAACTTGAAATGTTCACAATGAAAGGTTAACAAGCGAAACAAAGAAGCATCTCATATATGTAGACGCCTAACTGTAAACCTGAAAGTCGCCTCGGAGAAGGAACACCAATTCCTAAACTAACTAATTTCCTAGTACGGTCAATTGGCACACCCAGTCAAATGTACCCTACCACAGAAAATAAGTGGTGTATGATCAAAACTTATGGCTGGTAGAACATAAACACAGATTAATGTCTATTGCGGATGGCTTTTTCTACTTCTCACGATCACTATGAGGCTTAAAGTAGCTAGCATAAATTCACAGGACCCAATTTACCAGAAAAAAATATCACAGGACTTTCTAGTACCAAATTATCTTCTCTTATAAATCACCCCTGGGATAAAACAGATAAATAAGCCAAAGCGGGAGGCGCCAATCAGATGGAATCAACTAAAATAGCTGCACCAGACACAGCTTGCCCCAAACCAACAATGAGGGTGCTTGACTTAGATTTATACAAATCACGTAAGAGAGGAAGTAGCAGATTTGTGCATCAGTAAAGGAATAGTGACAACACAACACTCACCCGTACCCTCCATATGGTTGATAGAAGGGAACAGGCATGAAAGGCCTTCGAAATCTGAAATAAGGGTTGGGCCGCCTTCCACGGAACTGCTTCATGCCAGGAACATTTGTTCTCTTAGCAGAGACCTGAACGTAATACAAAGAAATGAGAACCATAAAAGAAGCAGATTAACATACTCAATTGACAGCATGAAGAAACTTCCAAGAGGACCTTTAATTGACGGCCATGCAGTTCAGATTCATTTAGCAGGAGGGCATTCTGCACAGCATCCACTTCCACAAATTCGACATACGCAAAACCCTTAGGCTGACCAAACTTGTCTGTCAAAATTGTCACTCTATTGACAGTTCCGCAAGACTGAAAATGCTGCTGAACTTCTTCCGGAGTGCAAGCATAATCCACCTGTAGGAGGAAACAACCAACAGAAACAAACAATACATGTCAGACCAGATTGTTAAGCTCAGGTCTTGGTACATACCAAAATTTCAACATGGGAAGGATATACTGATATTTCCGTAAAAACAATCACAGGGAAAAAGTGTAGTGAACCTTACATTGCCAACATAGATTGAGCGGGCATCAACTTCCTCCTTTTCGGCCAGAGATGCAGAAGTACCCGAGGAGTCTTCACAAATACAAACAGAAAAGAGAATCTAGAGATTAAACACAACCAGCGAAAGAACAGAAGCTTGTAAGAATGCGGAACACACCCAGGATTGAAACCAAAACATAATGCAAAACTAGAACGCATCAGTGAAATTGATACATAAAAAAATCTGCCTTTCTACCTCCACTCTCACTCCCAGAGCTCAAGATTAACCTAATTCGAGTAAAAAACTTAAGTTCGGGAACAGGCTCTAGCAAAAATATCAACATAAAGACGCAGGAAGAACAGACATTGCAAAGAGAACCCATCTGAGCAGGTACAGTTTTCAACACCCATATGAGAAAGATACAATCATGTATACCTTGCACAGCGCCCATCTCCTTCTCTACCTTAGCCTGCATTTCACGAAGAGCGCCGGCTTCTTCTTCGATCTCCTTCAGCCTCTTCTTCATGTCCTCCAATTCCTGCCCAATCACGAAAACCAAAATAAGCCACCGACGCCAAGAACGGAAACAAACTTCAAATCCTCCCCAAATCCCGCAAACGCGATAAAAAAAGGAGAGAGAGAGAGCGAGAAAGAGATTCTTTTAGCAACAGACCTTGGCACTGCGGTCCGCGTTCTCGTCCTCTTCAGGTCTGGCAGACATGTCGACGTCGTCCTCCATGTCTCCCTCGTAAGGGATTTCGCCGCCGTAAACCTCTTCTTCCTCGTGCTCCTGGTCGTACTCGTGATCTCCGGGCTGATCCATCTCGCCTTCTCTTCCGACGGATTATCGGCCGCCGGTTGCTGCTGCTGCTGCTGCTACGGGAGTGGGGGCAAGACCTAGGGATTTAGTTTTGAGGGGATTAGGGGTTTTTCCGCTATTGCTCCGTCTTTCTTTCCCCAATGGGGAAGTCTACGCACAGATTTGGGAGCTCACACTCCTCTCTCGGCTCACTACGCGGCGCCCAATTCCATATTTGCAATTTTCAAACGTTAGTAAGGGTAGTTACGTCAATCATTGTGTAGTTGTCAATTTGATTACTTGCGGTAGTAATGTTGTCAAACCGATTTATATGGTTGCTCCGGATTAGTAAATTGCATGATTCGACCGGATACAACTCGTATGTATCGATTCATGTTGGTTTAATAATTCAAAAGACTCTGATCGGTATGTAAAGCACCGATAACATCGTACTAATGCATATAGTGATGGTAAGTAACATACATTAACAACCCTAAAGATTGAGAGCGTCAAAGAATCAGTGGAGGTACCAATGTTTAAAGAATCAGAGCAGCAACAACACAAGAGAATGGACATTTCATTCTTTAAAATGAAATTAGTTCACATCTCTAGATACCCAACATTTATCAAACATTTCCTCCCGGTATAGATCGAATCACCTTTTCGGTGTAGAAGCACTGCAAACTCCGAAATCCCCATGAACGCAATAAACGACAAGAATCACACGGCGATGGTTTTCTTTTATATGTTTAAAGAGAGGACAATGAAGAAAGTTATGCAGAGTTTCTATACAGAGCAAACCTCATAGTATGCAGGGGAAACCATATCTCCAAACAATGAGAGGGCACTGAATTTATAGGAAGCGAAGAGAAACTAAAAGGGTAGGCGGTTGAAAGGACACAAATGTTCGTTTATCAACGATTACTAGTAACGTTCATGGGATTGAATGAGGCCGCTTAGTTAAACGAATCAATGTCACCATTACCCTATGCTATCCCACACCCATATTTCACCAGTATGGTACACACGAGCTTTTGTCCGCTCTTCGTCCCTTTATTCTCATCCACACCTTCATAAACCCAAAATCTATCACGTGAATGAAGAATGTTATGTTTTAGTTACTCTCATGTACGAATTAGTTACATCAAAGTAGGTAGATTTTTCGTTTTCCTTTGAACTGTTCGTAGTGAATATATATTGAGTATACTCACCACTCGGTAGATATGATATCTTTGAACCGTCGATTTTTCTTGTATACTAAGACTATATATGACACATAAGTGGCATAACTAACTATTATTCGTTCATTGATTCTCACTATTGTGTTAGTTTCAGCCCTGAATATTGCCTGATTTCATAATTGTTGAGAGAATTGACCTTTTATTCTTCTTAAAGCAGCTCCACGTATAATTGAAATAGGTATATTTCTAAACGTGCAATGCGTCTACTTGCATTGTTTGAGCATTTCAGCTTCAAACTTAGAAACCATTAAAAACCCTTTTGTCGTTTGATTACCCTATTTTCTGAACATTGTCTCGTCATGAGAATGGACTTTGCAAAATTTGACAATGTTGGACCATCATTCACAATTTTATTTTCTACTTGAACCTAAAGTTTGGGCTAGCCAACATTACTAGGTAAAGTTACAATCATCATGATTTGTACTAGACCACGTGTCCATTCCTTTTGATGTAATTAATTTCGAACTAGACCCTATATTTGTTTCATTTTATTATCTAGGGTTCATACCACTGGGAAACTCGAACTATAAAAAAGTACCATTTGTATACAGACCTATTCAATATTTTGAAAATGTCCCAACGTATTATAGTTGTGTGTCATTTATTTCCTTGCGATTTCGTTGACCGTTGTAAATAACGGTTGACCGGACATTGATCAACTTGATGTTGACTTTTGTTGACGTGCCAGCCACATAGATACCATGTCATTGACATATCATATTTTTAATTCAAATTAAATAAGAAAAAAATAGAGAAATTTAAAATTAACAAATAATTAAAAAAAATTAAAAATCTAACTATTCACCCCTCTCTCTCTCTCACACTCTGTTCACTAAGGAAGGAAATGGAGGGAAAGGGAAAGTGAAGAAGGAAAGTGGGATTCTCAATCAGCCTGTTTGGATACAATTCAAGAAGAAATGGAAATGGAATTCTATTTCCAATTCCTATTTTTATAGAATTCCATTTCCAATTTTAGTGTTTGGTATAATTCCTCCAACTAAAGAAATGAATTGCACTTTTAACAATAATTAATAATATAATATATTTATTTTATCTTGGGAAATGAAATATGAATGATAGAGAAAGAGAGTAGTGTGATAGTTGGTTAATAAAATAATAATAAATAGTGATGGGACCCACTAATTCCTTCTTCATAAACACAATTCCTATCACTTTTGATAGGAATTGTAATTCCCAAAACTTAGCCTAAATGGAATTCATTTCTCAACCTTCTTATCCTTCCAAACATAAAATATGGAATTGGAATTGAAAATGGAATTCCAATTCCTGAGTTTTTTGTCTATCCAAACAGGCTGAATAAGTTTTCCATTGTTTTTTAAGGAAGGAAAGTATGGAAGGAGGGAAAACTTTCCAACTTTTGTACTGTTGAACCCTCCCCTCCAATTTGGAGAGAAAGGAGAGGGACACATACATGGTTATTTCTTTTGTCTTTCTTTTTTAATATTTAAGTCCATTAAATACTTGTTTTCCTTCCCCTTTCATTTTCCTTTCTCTCCCCTCCTTTTCCTTCCCTTTTCATTTTCCTTTCTCTCCATTTTCCTCCCTTCCTTCCTGAACATAGTGTCAAAGATTTCCCCAACCCAGAAAACCCCAATTCCGACAATCCGTGAGCTAGCGAAGATGATAAATCTGTCGAGCCAGCAAAAAAAAAAAAAAAAAGAACTCTCAAATATCCGCCACCGTCAAGCCTTTGGTTCATGTGGCGAGTCTTTAGATACAATACACCCAAAGACCAGTCTTTTTCGATTCACTACATATAATATATTTTGACTTGCTACTATCCTCTTGTGATAGTCTTACCACACGATTATGGTGCTCAAGTTTCTTCACACTAATTGACCTTAGAATACTTGAGCTTCACATGTAATCTTTTCAGTGTAGTGTATTTATTTATTTATTTTCATTACCAGTTTACTTGGACATCATTCTTTACTAATAATGTTCATATGATAATTATCCATCCTAGTAAAAGCTTTTTATCCGGTCGACGGTTTCACATAAATTCCATCCTCGTCATTCGTCAATCGTCACCTAGTTTTTCCTTTAATTTTGTAATATTTGTTGGGAAAAATACTATAGTCAAATGCTCAATTCCTTTAGATTTGTTTCACGTAAATTCCATCCTCGTCAACCAACTCTTCGTTTAATTTTGTTTTATTGGTTGGGAAAATAGACAAATACTCAAATTCCTTTATAGAATAGTTTCACATAAAATTCCATCCTCGTCAACTAGTTTTCCCTTTAATTTTGTCTTATTAGTTGGGAAATTAGTTCCACCAGGAAGGCCTTTCCTAATTCCTATGGGACACATGGGGATTTTCTGGCCTAGATTATTGGAGAGGAAGGATTTAGTTAGGCGTGGGTTGATGGAGGTGGTTGCTCATTTTGGACAATTTGGCGAGCGAGGAATTGGATGTTCATTGACTATACTGTTTTTTACGTTGCTCGTTCTCCATTTTGTGGCGTGAAAAGTCTTTTAATTTCTTTGTACTCTTCTTCGGTTGGATTTGGTTTTACTTCTTAGCTGTTTTTCGGTTATATGACTTTCTTTTATATGGTTATTTTCTCGATAATACGAGTGATCTTTTGGAAGGAAGAGGGAAAAAATCAGATATGAATCTATTGGTCCTTAGTCTACTTTTAAGCAACTTGGAATTGAATGGTTCATATGATTTCATTGAGGAGGAGCTCCTTGTTGACATTTCAAAGATTCCAATAAACAAACGGGATAATAGCTATATATGGACCAAAATTTTGATGTTTGGGACAATTAGGTCCTAAGTATAAAAAAACTGTCCGAACTTTCGAATTGTCCGCTATCGTTAACGCTATTAGCGAGCACTTTTATTATACTTTAAAGCATTGATGTTTTAATGTACAATTTGAAGTTGTACAATAACATTAAATTTACAAGTTCGGATTATACTATAAAAGAATTTCTACCTTTGGTTATGGTAGTAACTGAACTTGTACCATAATATTAAAGGTACGACTTCAAGTTGTACCATGATGGGGGGGGGGGGGGGGGGGGGGAGATTAAAGCACCAATGCGTTAAAGCATTGTAAAATTCCTCGCTATTAGTTGCTAGTAGTAGGTTATCGGTAAACCGTTAAACAATTTGTTGTTACTGTTAACAGTATCATTTATATTAGTTGGTTAATCATTATCGTATAGTTAGTAATCATTTATTTTGTCGGTTAACGAGATAACCGTTAAGCAAGTGATTCGACAAGGTTAGACCAAACTAACCTATCGAAAACCTAACCAACAAATGACCTCCTCCTTTTTTTTGTTTGACAGGAAACCTCCTCCTTTTTTTTTAATTTTGCGTTTTTGTAGATATTTTTTTCCTACATATGTATGTGTTCTGTTTTAAGTTTTAGTCGATGGATAAAAAACAATTTCATATAGATATCAAGCCATAATCAACTCAATCCAACATGAGTACACAATAACACCCTTCTACCATCAAATTTGATTAATGAAACATACAAGAATGAGAGACCCAACAACAATTACTCAACTGATATACCTCACAAATTAAATGGAAGGTTAAACGTTGTTGATTGTTGTCGAACTACTCTGCACAAGTCCATCTTTCTACGAAGCTCCTTCTAGCTAATAGCCCTTCCCTGAAATTATTATCATTTGAACTTAAAACACTCTTACACAGTCGGTTACTAATCGTGTAACCGTTTTAACTTCCGATTATCGATTACACGCGTTAACAGGATAAGCCGTTTAACAACCCTAACTTTTAAACATAACTCAATCAGTCAGTCAACCCACGTTGGTACACACGCCAAGACCACCAGTCCACCACACATAATATATTTATTGGCCTCGTGGATCATCATCGTCATTACTCTTCCATACTTTGCAGCTTAATTTGCTTCCTTTTCTCCTCGTATAAAGCCTGAAATATCAATCCAAACAAATCAACCGCTAAAGCACCATGAATCACAATTATCACAGCCTAAAAGATAACCCTACTCATCAAATCTCCATACTACTCTCCCTTTTCCTCTTCAGCCTTCTCGCCGTCTCATTCTTGATCTTCTCCGACACACCACCACTAAGCAACGAACTAACCGCCGCTTCCAACAACAACGACCCGCTGGGGGCGGCGCTGGCGGCGGCTGCGACGGCGGACAAGACGCTGATCATCGCGGTGGTGAACAAGGCCTACGTGGAGGAAGGGGATTGGCCGACGATGCTCGAGCTGTTTTTGGACGCGTTCTGGCTCGGCGAAGGTACTAGGGAACTGCTCGACCACCTGCTCCTCGTCGCCGTCGACGAGATTTCTTACGATAGATGCAAGTTTTTGCACCTTCATTGCTACCGCCTTCGCCTTCCTCCCGCCGGGGATAATTCTTCCGCCGCCGGTGACGGAGAGGAGAAGGTGTTCATGTCACGCGAGTTTATCGGGATGATGTGGCGGCGGACCGAGTTCCTCGGGGACGTGCTTGCCCGTGGCTATAACTTCATCTTTACGGTACTGTCCATAATTAGCAACAGTTTTCTTTTCTCTGTGTTTTTTTTTCAACGAGGAAGAATTAGATTAAGTATACTCTTCAAAAAAAAAAAATTGAGTCATGTTTTACCATTGTATAACATGGTGGTAAAGCTGAGTAGTACACAAAATTATGTCATTGTGGTATGGAAGTTTGCGACGATAGTACGAATGTACTATAGTACATGATGATGAGTGTATAACAAGATGGTATGAATATACTAATAATCATCCACCACCGTCTTCCGTCGTTTACCGCTATAATATAGACTGGTAGTTTCGGTCACAATTTTTTTCCCCAGAAATATATTGAATTCTATATCGCGATGAATCTGTTCTTTCTATGCAAAAAAAATTCAAGATTTGAGTTACAATTATTAAAAATGAAGGTGGTAAATGATGGTAATAAGTAGTAATTATGGGTAGAACGAAAAAAAATTCTCGAATTTGTAAATCACAATGAAATCGTTCCGCATCTATGCAATTTTTTCTTAAAATTTGGGTTGAATTAGAGAGCTACAAGTCGATTAAAAAAAAGAGAGGAATATATATAATTTTTAATCTCACCCATTAGCTCCGATATAAGTAAAATCAAATGGCTAAATCTCACAAATGTATAATCAAATGTTTTATGTAACCCACCTTAATTTCCAATTGCATGTCACTGTTTTATGCATTAAAGTTTAATTAGAAGTCATTATAGAGACTCCATTGCACATTTTGTTCAGATACATAATTCCATGGAACTTTACAGCAACTACACATAACACACATGGAGCTGAGTGACATAACATCCATTGATGTTGTATTGTTATGGAATTTTACATGCGCCTGAATATTGAAAAGTCCGCGTTGAAAGATCAAATTTTTTGCTATTGATGAAAGATCAACTTTGATGACACAGGACACAGACGTACTGTGGCTGAGGAACCCATTCCCAAGGCTGACGACGACCAGGACGCCGGACCTCCAAATCAGCACGGACCGGTTCGACGGGAACCAATGGTCCCGGTCGAACCCGATCAACACCGGGTTCTACATGGTCCGGTCCAACGACCGGACCATCTCCCTGTTCCGGTCTTGGTACTCCTTGAAAGATAACTCCACGGGACTGAAGGAGCAGGATGTGCTACAAGCCATGATCCGGGAAGGCCGGTCCATACGTGAGCGGCTCGGGGTTCGGGTCAGGTTTCTCGACACGCTCTACTTCAGCGGCTTCTGCCAGGGAAGCCGCGACATTCGAGCAATCTCGACCGTCCACGCCAACTGCTGTCGCACCATCATCGCCAAGGTTGCTGACCTCAGAGTCGTGGTGGGGTTGTGGAAGAGGTTCAGGAGCAATGCCACGTCGGTTGACGATAGTGCTGTGCTGGCGAACATGGCGCACGTGGCGTGTGCTAATTCGTGGAAGTGATCTTGTGATTTTGATTGGATTGCATGCAAGCATTTGTAAACATGTATACTGAACACCCTCACACTTAAAATCACACATTGTCTCCAATGTGCACAAGACAATGTGTAAGTGAATAGAACCAAGTTTATCATTATGTTCAATCGGTGAAGAAACTGAAGGAAGTCGGATGAAAATTCGTTTAGGCTGATGGAACATGGTATGTCACGCATTAAGATAAGGAGAAACACATCCATGAGATATTTATTAATTACTACTAAACTAGAAATAATAATAAAAAAGTATAGGGAAAATAAATCAAATCGAGGCTGGATTGTCTCTCAATAAGGGGTTTTTTACCGCCATAAGCTAGACGGTTGCATTCAAGTCTCGGCCCATCCCAAGACCTCTTTGAAATTGAAGTTCCCGTGAGTGTGTGACCTCTTTGAAATTGGGGCTCCACCTTCAAGAGCTCTTTCCTTCCTTATCCTTGCTTTTCTTTCTCGCAAACCATATAGCTCATAGTGGTTGGCCACCATTGCATACACCAAGAGAGATTGATATATGATGACGTTTGACAAGAGTTACTTGATCATCAAAAATTCTCGATCCAGGAAGTGGTTGGTTGATATTGTTACTTGATCATCAAATTTTATGTTAATTAGGTATCTTTATGTATCACATATGTAACATGATCGATATTTTTAACAACTAATCAAGTTCTTATTGCTACAAGATTGATGGATTGGAGACTGTACCACTTGATAAGTGGAGATGCATTAGGTTGTTGATTATGTTATAATCACTAGCAATGACAATTATCATAAGTTAGAGACTATCAATTATTAGGAAACAACGACCGCTATATTTCCCTCTTAAACTTAATTTCGTTGTCATAACCATTATTACCAGATATAGCTAAAGAAATTCATCATAATTGCTAATAAATATTTTCATATAATAGAGTGTTTTCAACAACTAGAAATTCCCACTAATTAAAGGTTTCAACGACCGACTATTGATATCCTCTCGTAATAACTTTTTAGTGGGGAAGCCTGTAAGTCTATAGCGAGGGGATTATCCCCTTGTAAATGACTTTTCACTATGAGATTTGGGTTTTTAACTATCGTTATTCCCTCGTATTTTTTTTATAATAATGGTGATAAATTCTGTAATTAATACTTTTGAGCTCCAAAGCGAACATGTTCTTGTTACTTAATAGTGCTTTATTGACAGTAAGTGCATATTGTCATGAAGCTTTCCTACAACATTTTTGTGGTTTTTCTTGCTACTTTTGCAATTGTGTTTTATGAGTTACATTTTCTTAATTTTTTCATGAAACACATTTATAATTTTATCTTCCACTCCTCTAAAATACAAGCTGAGTGTTCATATTTGGTTCGTAATAAATAGAAGAAAACAGCCAATTAAATGATCATCCCACTTGGCTCATATTCTAGTTTCAACTTGTCTATAAATTTAACCTTACAAGTTACAACTCTTGAAAGGAAAATTAACGTTATGGTTATGCACCACTGGGCTGGTATAACAGACAAAATTTGAGGGATCGCCGCCACGGAGTAGCTATATATATAGCTGGGGCATTGTTGGATTTATTTGAGAATCGGGTTGAATTGAGATAGAATATGATCAAAAATAAAGAAGAAATGAGAATTAGAATCGGATCAAAAATATATTTGATTTATTTTGTTCGCATTGGTCCGATCTAAATTCAATTTTGATTTGTTTTTTCTTCATACTTAAAAAAACTCATAGGGATCGAAATATCGATCTGATTTAATTCAATCCAAATATCAATTCGAGATGATTCTATCCAGTGTGAACCTCATTATTGCCTACCCCTAGCAATATATGCTCATAACTTAACAAACTCATACAATATAATTCAATTATAATATTGGCCATGGCTGCTTCTTAGTTCTTACCTTGTTCTTGTTGGATGAAGAACAATATTTTCTAATTGTATTAAAATGCACAGAGTTTTGGAAATGGAATATTTTCACATGGCTTCTAAAGACATTTTGCTACCAAGTTCTTTGTTTGTCGAAAAATAATGCAACAATCCAACACCATTCATTATATGGACCACCTCGTACCAATTTGGCGGGAGGCGGAGGTTAGGGTGCTAACATCAGATTCAGCTAACATAAATATTTTGTGTCGATGAGTTTTTTATTTTAAGAGATTGATTATAATTCATTATAATTTTTAAAGAGAATGGCACACTTGTCATTATGAAAAATTATGGGACACACAAATGTGACGCTGCTCATTTATTCGGATGAAGCAAACTACATACACAAAGACCAGAAACCCAACAAACCATACAAAAAAAAAAAAAACAAACATAAAGTAGATCAGAAAACTTATAAAACATACCAGAATCCTAACACACCACAAAATCGATAAAGCATACCAGAAGTCTCAAAGCATATCATAAGTTCACTGAAATATATCAGAAACCTTATAAAACAAGCAGACCACAAATTTTCCGAGGCAGATTGGAAATTTCATAAACCAAACCTGACTATAATTGTTCTCAATCCTCATCGTAGCCCTTAATTAAATCAAGTTGAGAGAGCTCAAGGGTCACTCACCACCTACTCACCCTAACAGCAGCCCTATGCTTCCGCATTGCCATGGAGAAATAATCACCTTAGATCAATTGCTAAACGACATATGTAGGGCGGTGTTAATTAACAAGCTAGCTAAGCCAGCCCATGCTAGATGATTTATATATAGAAAGCTATATATGCAGCTATATAAATATTTTTCTCTATAAATATTTTTTTAAGAACAATTGGCAATCACATATAGACGATAGATCAACCACTTTCATTAAGAAACCCACCCTAGTTTGGAGATAATGGAAATTTTGTTTCGTGAAAAGTTCAATTAAAACTAAAAGATTAGTCAAGTTGAATGTTAGGATGAGTTCACTATAGTAACTTGATCTAGATCGACTTGAAGTAAAATTTAATTAAATCTATGTTACTGATTAAATCAAGGTAGAAACTGATCAACCGTCATAAGACACACAGACTATATCACATATTGTCAATATATGGATATCGATAAACCGCATCGGCAAACCGGCCAGTAGATTGAAGTTGCCTGCAACCGCAAACTCCAAATAAAGTATAATATTCGTTCATATTCAATTTTCTCTATAAAAACATAACTAATATAGTTCTACTTAGAAGTAAATTCTGCAGGCAAAATGTGTAGTAAACTTTTGTGGATGTACAAGAAACCAGCATATAATGAACTAACTAGGACACATTATTTGGGAATTAATTCATATTCAACTACATATACATAACTCAAGTTGTTGTAACCAAAAGACTGCGAAACCGTACCAAAGATTGTAGCGGAAAAAACCTCTAGCGACAGACCCTTTGTACTAAAATTGTGGGTTCGAGGCGTTTCATATCGCTAAAAGCGACTTACAAATAAGTATTTTTTTTTTTTACAGTCTCGAATCTATTGAAATTCAGCCTGGCAGCCACCATTTCAGTTTGACTTAATTAATCCCCCCTCTCCACCGGAACTCTATAAATATACCCAACAAACGGCTCGTCTATCTCGACATCATCGTCTCAACAAACATGCCGCCGTCTTCATCATCAGCTGCAGTATTTCTCTCGTTTCAGCTTCTGGGCCTCGTTCTGTTTTGCAGTTTCCTCCATGGCCATGCAGCAGCAGCAATCCGCCATCACACTTTTGTGGTATATACATACGTCGAATTGCATTACATAAAAACATATATACTCTGACCTGAGATTTCCCATATTGCACATGCCCTAATTACTGACTACTTTTTGAAGGTGGAAGAAGCGCCATACACAAGGCTGTGCAGCACAAAGAACATCATGACCATCAATGGCAACTTCCCTGGAGAAACGTTGCATGTGCATAGAGGAGATACCTTGATCGTCCACGTGGTCAACCGTAGCCCTCACAACATCACCATTCATTGGTATTTCATCATATATATATATATATGTTCCCTCCATATTATTTACTATATATTTCCTCCATTCTACAAGACCAGTATGCTCTGGGAGTATAATATATAATACTTCAGGAGGGAGATGATCTGGCCGTTAGATATATATACTTCGATAAACTCTGACGACCAATTTGAACGGTCAATTATTGTTTTTTTTTATTCATCAATTGAACTTCAAGTTTGGGCTCGGAGAATCCGGGCCCAGGATTTATCCATTAGAAGTTAAGAGTATAGTATCATACCCCAAAGTCAGATCCAATTCATGGTAAAAATAAATTTTTATCTCAATAAAAGTGTATGAAGTATAGTATATACTCGAGTTCAAAATCGCTATATTCCAAGAGTATAGCGGGTTTGACCTATACCCGAAGTTTTTTTTTTTTTTTGTTTACTCTATATATATGTATAACTAACTAACCCACAAATCTTTTCATTGATATATTAATTATTGTCTATCGTAGGCATGGAGTGAACCAGCCAAGATATCCATGGGCAGACGGTCCCGAGTACATCACGCAATGCCCAATTCAGCCCGGCGGCAAATTTAGCCAGAAGGTTATATTCACGACTGAAGAAGGCACGTTATGGTGGCATGCACACAGTGAATGGACTCGAGCCACGGTTTATGGCGCCATCGTAGTCTACCCCAAGAAAGGCCATGCTTACCCTTTCCCAAAACCTCATGCCGATCTCCCCATCATCTTTGGTATGTTTATAACCGCTGGCGGTTCTGATTCGTCGAAATATAGAGTTTATATAGCATATGTGAACACATACATATATCATAATATGTAAGATAGGCGTATGCTAGCTTTTGTCATATATGTATGTATGTATATTAGCCCGTGGTCAAAGTTTACCACATTAATTGCAGGAGAGTGGTGGAAGCAAGACATATTCGAGCTTTTCGACGACTTCCGTCGATCGGGCGGTGATCCTCTAGTGTCTCATGCAATCACTATCAACGGCCAGCCTGGCGATCGTTACAATTGCTCTCGACAAGGTACCGAAAACTGATGCAATGGCGAAAAAATAAGAACATCGAATTTTACGTGGTATTCTTGAGATTTCGAATTAATCTACGGGAAAAAAAGGCAGAACTCACATGAATCACTATTATTGAGCTTAGATTTTCTGTACAAACATACCTACATATATATATATACTAAAAGCTACCTAACTAAGCCAAGTTGTCACTTTTAAGAGGTACATAATTAAAATTTTGTGTAGACATGTTTTTTTTTTTTTTGTTTTCGGTTTGCTCCTAATTAATTACTCAATTAACGTTGGGTCAACACGTGACTTGGGTAGACATGTTCAAGCTGGCCGTTGACCAAGGTAAAACCTACCTCCTCCGCCTCATCAACGCCGCCATGCAAGACATCCTCTTCTTCTCCATCGCCGGCCACCAACTCACGGTGGTCGGAACCGACGGGACCTACACGAAGCCATTCAAATCCGACTACATCACCATCTCCCCCGGCCAAACCATCGACGTCCTCCTCCGCGCCGACCATCCCATCGCCGCCAGCTACTACATGGCCGCCAAATTCTACTCGAGCGCACGCGCCGCCGTCAACCTCAACACCACCACCGCCCTCCTCCACTACACCACCAACAACACCACCACCACCACCCCCACCGCCGCCGCGGCGAACTTCTCCGCCGTCTCCCTCCCGGCCACCGCCGACACCAACGCCTCCGTCGCCTTCACCGCCCGCTTCCGTAGCTTGGCGGACAAGAAACACCCCGTCGACGTCCCGCAAAAGGCGGACACCAACTTGTACTTCACCCTCTCCATGAACGCCGTCCCTTGCCCCGCCGGCGCCACGTGCGCCGGCCCCAACGGCGCGCGGCTCGCCGCCAGCGTCAACAACGTGAGCCTCGTCCTCCCGACGTCGATGGACGTGCTGGGAGCCTACTACCGAGGGATCGGCGGCGTGTACGGAGATGATTTCCCCAGCAACCCGCCGGTGAGCTTCGACTTCACGAACCTGACCATCCCGGCCGTGGACAGGACGCCGGCGACTGGGAACCAGGTGAGCGGCCGAAATCGTCGATTTTACGTAAAATCGAAAAAATGAGGCAAAATTAGAATCCAGGACTTTACGGTCCATATGAAAATCAAGACGGAACAATATTAGTAAGGGAAATATTGAATAACACACAAAAATATATACAATGATAATTTCTCAATGTTAATGTTCCGATTTATCAAGGTTAATGTTGAAAAGTGGTGAATCGCAATGATGATGGTGGAGAAGAAGGAAAAAGAGGGGTAATTTAGTAAATTGCGGGAGAAATAAGTAAAACTGGCCCAAAAATTAGAATTTTTAAAATCGTGAAACATATATGATTGTAAAGTGAGGGTGTTGGAGTACAATGCAGGGTCGAAACAGATAAATAAAACCGTAAGATGTTAGGATTTAAATCGAGATTTTGACTACTTTGCAGGTGAGGGTGCTGGAGTACAATTCGTCGGTGGAGCTTGTGTTCCAAGGAACCAACTTGCTGGGCGGGGTTGACCACCCGATGCACCTCCACGGGACCAACTTTTACGTGGTGGGGTGGGGGTTCGGTAACTTCGACCGGGCGAAGGATGCGAATAAGACGTACAATCTGGTGGATCCGCCGTTTCAGAACACCATTGCCGTCCCCAGAAACGGCTGGGTTGCCGTCAGGTTCAAGGCCACCAATCCCGGTAAATAATCAGTAAACGACACTTATTTTTCTCTGTTTCAACTTCGACCAACTCTCAAAAAAATCTGCACGCGGTCAATTACTGTTTTCTACTGAATTCAAATTTCGGGTTTGGGTTTGAAGAATCGGTTTAATTCATGCTCTAAATCAGTTTAATTCATACTCTCTAGATATAAAGATCTCACTAGAAGTACGTGAATTATCGTATAATACATAAGTAGCATAGCAATCTGAACATTATTATCTATATTATATAAATGAATACAGGGGTGTGGTTCATGCATTGCCATTTGGAGCGTCATGCATCGTGGGGAATGGGGATGACTTTCATAGTGAAGAACGGGAAAGGACCGAACGACAAAATGTTGCCACCGCCGTCCGACATGCCTCCTTGTTGATCCACCGGTTGTTGTATTTTATTTTCGATTGGTTCTGTTGTTGTTTTTTTTTTATTGCATCGTTTTGCAACGGTAATTCAGTTACTTTGTTGTTCTGCTGATCATCATTTACTGGATGGATAATAATAAGCTTGCTTGCTGCTAGCCTGTTATGCTATTCGGTTCGGGTAATCACCATGCAAAAGCAAGCATTGCTTTCTTAAAGTTTTTATAAGAAGAGTAGAAGGATTTTGGAAGAGAAGATCCACAAAGCTGTTGGACGTCTCGTGTTCTTAACGACTAATGACAAAATTGATAAAACGCGAAGTTGTATTACTAAAATAATATAAGTCATATAAGTACGGAACGTTCCACAAGTGAAATGTTGTTTTATTTTGATTTCCACCGAAACGTCTTCTTCCTTCTGAAATCCGAATTATGAATCTGCCAGCTTGGCGGTCACTTTCGACTCTTTCACTTGGTCGGAAATTCATTCAATCGAATTCCATCCAGTCCTTTTGTAAACAAATATGTCAATTGATTGATCATGCTCACATGATGCATCTTCATCAATCATGTCTTAATTCTCTCTCTTGCCACATGCATATCAATCTCCATATGCTTTATCATTTCGTGAAAAAAAAGAATGATTTTCTGTTATATGTATAGCAACCTGTTATCACAGTTAACAGAGATTGGTAACGGTGAAGTCTGGTCTAGTAGTGACCTTGACATAGTGCAGTCTGCCAGTCTCTCAATCAACATTCTGTGCCCTTCTGCATCTTTCAATAGTATTCCTTGTGTTAGTCTTTTTTAACCGTCATGTGAGTTATCCTATTGTTCTGCCTACCAATAAATTGTAAAAAAAAAAAAAATTAACGCGAAGATTGGATTTTTTCGAAAGAGAGCGCCTCTTTTTGCATCTGCCATGTTTCCTAATTAACCTTGTCAATAATCATCTTAGCATCAATCGAAAGAGCGCCTCCTGCACCGGAATTAGAGAATTTCTCATAAAAGTATTACTATATTTTGATTTTTTTATAGAAATATTTTGAAATTTGTTTACTGCAATTTGAAGAAAGTCCGTTAGCGGATTTTGGTCTGCTTAATGGGCTTGATTGTTTGTCCAATTATGGGCTTTTGGATCATAATCCTCCCCTCTCAGACGAAAGAGCGGGCAGGCCCAGGTCGGGGCCGGGCAGTTTCGCTCCAGGCCAAAACTCTGGTAGCCACGATGATAAGACTGACCGTCTCAAAACAACCGAAACACTCCCCCTCCTTCACATTTTGCAGTCGACCATCATCATCGTTGAGGAAGCAAAAAAAGTTGCAGTCCGGCTCTTTAGTTCCCATGGCGGCCGCCCAACTCTTCTTCTCTCCTCCTCTCTCCAACCCACATCCGGCTCCCAACCACCGCCGCTGGGTACAGTCCTCCTCCATTCTCAGCCGGCAAAACAGAGCATCCGCCGGGAAATTCGTAACCCGAGCCAACGGCGGGGACATGCTGGGCGATTTCGGGGCGAGAGACCCTTTCCCGGCGGAGGTAGAGAGCCGGTTCGGTGAGAAAGTTCTGGGAAACATGGATACGGAGCACAAGATTCTGATCCCCAACATCTCCGCCATGTCTCTGGCGCAGCAGGAGTGCTCCCCTGTTTCTCCCGTCCAGCCTCCCATGTCGAAAGACGACGCCCAACGGCTCTTGAAGAAGGTGCGAATCCAATTTTTTTCTTCAACCCAAGTTTTGAATTCTGCAATTCATTTCAATTTCAATTCAGCAATTGGGTTTTGAAGAATCGTGGGTTTGGGATTGGGTCAGGTTTTGGGGTGGAGATTGTTGGAGGAGGAAGGTGGGTTGAAACTGCAGTGCTTGTGGAAGCTGAAGGATTTCGGCTGTGGGATTGAACTTATCAACAGAATCCACAGAGTGACGGAGGCTTCGGGCCATTTCCCCAACCTGCATTTGGAACACCCGAACCAAGTGAGGGCTGAGCTGTGGACTAGAACCATTGGTGGGTTTTCCTCATCAGTAACCCTCCAATTTCATTCTTTGATCTTGGTTCACTGTGAATTAAGGGTGTTGATCTTGTTTTTGGATATTGTGGTTTGCAGGAGGGTTGACTATGAACGATTTCATCGTTGCTGCCAAGATAGATGCGATTAAGACCTCAGATCTCGCACCCAGGAAGCGGGTTTGGGCATAAAGCTCAATCTGCAAAATTTGCAAACATGAATCTTCAATGTATTTGATTTGCTCTGCTCCCCCATTCAAAGTTGGGTGTGTTGTGGTGTAATTTTGAAACCATTAGCACGGGTCATTGAGCAACCTCAATGGTCTTTCCATTCCTGTGTTGCAGCATTTCTCGTTGCATTACTAGGTTTCTATACGAAAGAAGAAGAAGAGATTTACGGCTGCTTGTATCCTTGATTTACTACCAAGCTAGCTCAGCTGATATGTACACATTGTTTTCAGAAGATAAGAAATGGATTATCCTGTACTTACACTTGGAGTCCCTATGTTACTGTGATAAAGGTTGTCAACCCGGTTTATACTGGTTTTGCTAGTTGTATTGTCCAATCAAGGACACAATCGATTAATGACTAATGTCAGTTCATGTCAGTTTTAGCAAATACATAGAGAAGTGAAGAGATTTACGGCTGCTTGTATCCTTGATTTACGACCAAGCTAGCTCAGCTGATCTGTACACACTGTTTTCAGAAGATAAGAAATGGATTATCCTGTACTTACACTTGGAGTCCAACATAGGATAACGGTTGTCAACCCGGTTTATGCTGGTTTTGTTAGTTGTATGGTCCAATCAAGGATACAATCGATTAATGACTAATGTCAGTTTTAGCAAATACATAGAGAAGTGATAAATCATTAAACAATTAATGAATTTAGGCATATATATAACATATTTGAAGATAATTTCTCTAAAATCTATATTCATATTTAAATACAATGTTTAACAAAATTTATACTTGAATTCAACAAATAACATTAACATTTAACAAACAATTATATTTTTGGTTAGTTAAATTCACCAAAACAATATTTTATTTTAAGATTGGGAATCGATCATAACAATCATACCGTGACGTGAAGTCATGGACAATCCAACCAATTTTGTAACTGATACCGGTTAAACCCGTTTGTACCGACCGGCGACCATCTTGTAAACAAAGGCCTGAAGAGCAGTGAACAGCAAACCAAAACAAGAAAAATAGAAAATGGCGGCATCTGTTGCTCCCGCTCCTGCCCTGAAATTTTCTCTGCTTTCAAGCCAAGGTCATCCTTCTCTTACTCTACACTTCCGTCTCTCGTTAATCTTGTACACTCATCTTTGTTGCTACTTTCTCAATTCGCTCACTGGGAAATTTCGTCACATTACCTCTGCAGGGTTGAACGCAGTTGCACCTTGTGGATTGTCATGGCGACAGCAGGTTCGCTCACTTTTCCTTCGGTTACCCACCTTCCTTATTTGTACTGTTACAGGAAAGCATGCTACTTGGTTGCTGACTTCACCACTTTGATTCGCATTTCCAAACTTTATTGGTTTCCCCTGTTTCGACTGTGATATGCATATGTGGTGTTCGACGAAATGCTTGCTTGTCTCTCAGCCCAGCTACCTCCTTTTACCTTGTTATCTCTTCCCTCTTGAACATATGCCGTTTCTCTTATGCAGCGACGATCAAGAAGAATGGCTGGCCGTGTTGCAATAACATCAAAACTCGAGCTAAAGCCTCCTCCATATCCCATGGTAACCAACAACACAAAACAAACTTTCCCCCTGGTTTAACTGAGTTCTACGGTGATGGTGGTTCAGGGTTTTGTTGAATGGCTCTTGTTATGGCAGGATGCATTGGAGCCACACATGAGCAAGGAAACATTTGAGTATCACTGGGGAAAGCATCACAGGGCCTATGTAGACAACCTCAACAAGCAAATCGATGGGACGGACTTTGAAAACATGTCACTGGGAGATGTTGTGGTTGCTACATACAACAAGGGAGATGTGCTCCCAGCTTTCAACAATGCTGCCCAGGCTTGGAACCATGAGTTCTTCTGGGAATCCATGAAGCCAGGAGGTGGAGGGAAGCCATCGGGGGAGCTACTGACGTTGATCAAAAGGGACTTCGGTTCTTTCGAGAAGTTTGCGCAGGAGTTCAGGACAGCTGCATCTACCCAGTTTGGTTCTGGATGGGCTTGGCTTGTCTGTGAGTGACCCTTTTGTTTATCCAGTTTCCTTTTGATGGCATGCCAAAGTAACTTCCTTTCTGTTCTTCTGATGACATAATTTTGCTTTTAACCAGACAAAGCAAACAGGCTCGACGTTGAAAATGCAGTAAACCCTATTCCGTCGGAGGAGGACAAAAAGCTTGTGGTGGTGAAGAGTCCAAATGCTGTAAATCCCCTCGTTTGGGATTATGATGTATGTTCCGTGTAGTTAGTTATTTATTCATCTCTAGCTTTATGATTTCACACAACTGTTGGTAATCAGCTTCTTGTTATTCCAATGCAGCCTCTTCTGACTATTGATGTTTGGGAGGTACTCATCAAAACCCTAACTATCTCTCTGTAATGTTTTAATTTGAAATACATTTAGCTCAGACTGACTTGCTTGAACTCTGGTTTTTGTTCAACAGCATGCTTACTACCTCGACTTTCAGGTACAATCTGGCTGATGAGATAGACTATTCTTTCAGTTTTTTGCCACTCATGACTTGAGTTCTAAACTTCGTAGTGGTCTCTGTGCAGAATCGACGACCTGACTACATATCCACCTTCATGGAGAAGCTAGTGTCCTGGGAAGCAGTGAATGCTAGACTTGAAGCAGCGAAAGCTCGTGCGTCTAAGAGAGAAGAAGAAGAAGAGATGAAGAAAAGGGAGGAAGGTGACATTGGTGACAGCCAGCCAGTAGAGATGTTTGTAGATGGTGATGGTCAGGACGATGACTCAGACGATTAGTGCTTTCGTATTTCGAATGATGGCTTTGTGTAAGGACCATCACATTTTCAATGAGATTGCTTTAGTTTCCAGTTCTGTAGATTATGAACTTCCTAATAGTATTATATAGTACACATTAAAAACTAAGAAACACACACATAGTAACTACAAAAATTGTTCAAGAAAACAACAAAACAGTAAGAAGAAGAAGAAGAAGAAAAACAAATATTTAACCAGATTTATCTTTCTTAACAGCCTTGTTGACCACCCTACAAGAACTCCTAATCTCACCCTGCGTCCCCGTCAGGACACCCACGGCTCCCAGCCGGACCATGGCCGCCCCAAACCTCGCCGGAAAATCCACCGAATTCGCCAGGTTCGCGATGATCGGCCTCGTGAACCTGTTCATCCCGAGCTCCTGGTCGATCTGCAGCACCCCTCGACGCAGCAGTATGTTCTGGTAGTACGAATTGTCGAGCACCAGCGGGCTGAACGGGTTCTGGTCGAGGTTCACGGTGTTCTCGATCGCGTTGATCGGGCACCTCGACCGCAACGTGTTGACGGTGAACTGGTCCATGGAAGGGTCGGGCTTGCCGCTGCCCTTGAAGTTGTGGATGCGCTCGCTGAGGAAGGAGCAGTGTGCCACTCCAACGGAATGAGCACCTAATGTTGTTGAAAATGAAAAATTAGTTGGGCAATCAGGAAGGTTTAGGGAAGTATGGGTACCAAACTGGAATTATTACCTAGAAGGAGGACCATGTCGACGGCGGTGAGGCCCTTATCGGCGAAAGCGGCAATGGCTTGCGGGACTGTGATGGATGGGCCTGGGAGAGTCACGTTTGCTATGTCGGCCGACGAAACAAGCCCATCTCTTCTCCCCGTTTGGACTCTGTATATCCCTCCCCCGCTCTGCTCAAGGGGAAAGCCCAATAAGTAAAAAGAGTTTAAAAGCCCACATTAGCACATGATTATTAGTTCAGAGAGACATAGAAGAGACAAGAGAGGCACAAGTATCTGAAAAATGAAGAAGAAACCCTAGCTAGTTTGTCCCAATTTTGGCGCAAATATGTTAAAAGCTAATCATTCTAATTTTAGTACCGGTTCGTTGACGATCGGAATCATCATCATACTACGAAACTAACACGTTGATGACTGCAGGAACAAGGAAACACCATCGTCATTTCACTCGAGATCTCGATGAAATACTACGTTAATGAGAAAGTTTAGTAAAACAAATTTTTTGGCTAAACGGGACAAAGGTCATCTTTCTTGAAAAATCGGAGAAAAACTTCATTAGAACTTAGAAGAGAAGTTAAAGAGTACTTACTATCAAGAAGAAAATGGGGGGGGGGGGGGGGGGGGGTTAAAAGGTAACACATTGGTTCTTATTTTATAGTTTCGCCATTTTTTTTTGAAACGTATGCGTATGTCTTTCGATGAACAATGAAAGGGAAGAGAATCAGACAGATACAGAATACACGTACTAGGAAAACGGCATCGCGGGCGGCAATAGCAATGAGATCGGCACACGAGACGACGCCGGGGCAGATCTTCTCGACGGCGTCCTTCGCCTGGTCGATGATCTCGTAGCCTCGGACGCTCTGGTTCGGGGACGCCGTCTTCTCGCTGTCGGGGCCGTCAAGGAGTATCGAACCATCGCACCCCTTCGACCAGAAAAAAAAAATGTTTGAGATTAAAGAAAGTAGTTAGATACCATACCAGAGAAGGAGAACAGAAAGAAATTGCGGCCCAATCAGAAATTTAAACGAGGAGGGCTAAATATCTACGTATTAACGAGTCATCAATGTGACTCCAATCCCTTGAGATGGAAAAAAAACTTACATTGACGAAGCAGTCGTGGAAGTGGAGGCGGATGAGGGAAGCGAGAAGGGAAGGGTCGGTGAAGAACTGAGCCGAAACGACGCCGCCGACGATCGCCTCGACGTCGGCGAACCCGCATTTGCCTCTGTAGAACCCGACCTGGAGGGCACCGTGGCTCATTGGGCCTCCGGACAAGAGTAGCAAGCCCAGAATAAATCCCACCACCGCTGTCCCCTTCTTCATCACCAGAGCTTGTTTTTTCCTTTGGCCCCCTCCTTTTTCTGTAATTAATTAGTAACCCTTCACAAGAAAACAAATTCCCACTCTCACTTGGCAACCAACCCAAAAAAAAAAAAAAATTTGAAAAAGAAAACCACTTACCTTTTAGGGTTTCTTTTTGCCCTTTTCTTTCTTTTCAGCAGTCTAGGTTTTGTGAAGGATTCATGGCTGAGAGGTGTTTTCTTGGTACTCTTGAGCAGCTTCTCTTTCTTTTCTTCTCCTGAAATAATCCATCCAATTGTGCCCTAACTGAAAAGGGGCCTTTTTCGTCTTGAAATTGGCTTAATATAAGTTTGCATTTGGTATATATATAAAGGGGGTTTGGTTTGGTTTGGTAGCAGTGGTGCAATTAATTTCGAAGTGGCTTGTGTCGCCGCGGCTACTTGTGCGCAAGCTCTATAACTTTGTTAGCCGACAGATCATCTCTCCTAGAATCATGCATGCATGTTTGTTGTTAACCCTAACTTCGCCACTAAAATCTGGATTAGCATTTGTAATCATTTTCTCAAGTATCATTTTGAGGGGGGGCGTTTGGAATCTTTGATCGAGGAAAATGTGCAAATACTGTATCGAGATTATGTGGTCTAGTGGTACTACCAGTGGTCTTGAACCTCAAGGTTTCGGGTTTGAATATCTCCTGATTAAAAATGGTAAGAGTACGATAAACATCATTTTTCTATTTATTAGAAATACATAATGTATTCTCAATACATGCATTATGTGCTCAAGTCAAGTTCCAGAACGTTGTATTCGGCATGATACATGTATACTCACAATATATCTTTAGAATTGGACGTGTGGTTCCAAACAAGACCTCATTTCGTAACGTGTGGGAGGATTTGGTCATTTTGGGAAAAAGAGTCTTATTAGGTACGTAATATGTGATCCACCATCTAGATAACAAGTACACGATCGAGGAAGAAGATAACTATAACTAATAAGAGAGACTTGTTTATTTTTGTTTTTTACTCGTTGTTTTCGGACGGTCTTTGTTAATTTATGTATGTATGTGTGTCTTCATTATTTTCTCCCTTTTCATGGGAAGGGGGATATGATGTTGTGTGGAACCCCAAAAATAATGTGCACTTGTATAGTTAGCATGCAAGAATCAAGATATATCCTTTTGCTTGCTTGGGATCAGTAGGTGAAGTGCAAGCTTTACGTGCACTTTTTCCCTTTATACGCTCCTGTTTTATTTGTTTCTGGATTTTCTAGTAATTATAATTTAGTTAATTAACAATTTGGCCAGGCATATAGTTGGAGAAAGCATGAGCTATTGTTTTTTCCCCCTTTAAATTTCGGATTTCTCCCCCAAAACTAACATATTATAGTCACTAAACAATTCCACAATACTACACCATTACTAATGATTTATAAACTACATAGATTTGGAGCTAGGGATGGCAAATTTGACCTGGCCCGTTTTGCCCGACCTGTTTGACCTGTTTTGGGGTGGGTCCGACCCGCCCCGTAGGCGGGGCGGGGCGGGCATGGGTAGTCTCATCGACCCGACCTGCCCTGACCCGCCTCATTCTCAACCCGTTCTTGTCTAAATTACAGGAAAACTTAATCAAATTACTTTGAATTTTCCTTTTATTGCATCATAGTTTAGCTATAATAAAGTTGTAAATTAGTGAAAACCTCAATTTCTCCAATAATTTAACTACAATTGTCATAATATTGTTTGTTTTCTTAGTTTTATAATAAAAATAACGAATATTTCTAATGTTTTTCATATAAATTGCATACCCATTGGGTCGACTTGCCCCGACCCGCGACCCGTGATCAATTATCCGACCTGGACCCGCCCTGCCACGGGGCGGTTCTGGGTACCAAGAAACCCGCCCCGGACCTGCCCCATTGCCATTCCTGTTTGGAGCAGATAGCGAGCACCTCCCGCGACTTAGGGGAGGAGCGATTCGTGTAAATCGATAAAGCTGGCAGCGATTTCATCACTTCATATCGCTTACCGTAGAAGCGATTAAATAAAATAAATTTAAGTGGTTGCTAATTTCATCACTTCATATCGCCCTGCACTAACATTACATAGCCAAGGCATGTGAAAAAGTACAACCTTCAACGTTAATCGTCTGGCTACCTATGGCACCACCCACCCCTGCTGTCATACACGGTTTCCACCACGGAATCTGCAAAACGATACAAGTCTGCTGGATTGGCCGCGGCGGCAGCAGCAACAACGCCTGGTGGTGTCGAATTCGGCAGCCCAGGAAACCCTTCTATCGAAGACGACGACCCAAACAGTCCTCCATACGTCGTAGCATGTCCGCTAACATAACTCTGCCCACCTTGTACTCCGTACGCCAAGCTGCTGTTGTTCGCAACCACTGCCTCCCGCCGAAGGCCAGATGCTACGTTTCCAGCAGAAGAACTCGTGGAGGGGGCATTGTTGTAAACGCCCTGAAGACGATTGACTGCACCAGCGTGGATTGCGAAGTTTTCAGGTACACCTGCAGATGAGTAAGGAGGAGGAGCTGATGTTGCACAAGGATATGTATCTTCTCCGTAAGCACCGAGGGGATAGTTTGCCCTCAATGAGGTATTGTTATTGTTGTACGGGCTCATGTAGGTGGCTGCAGCCTTATGTTCATGCAAGCCTCCAATGCTTGGGGATCCAAAGGAGGCTCCTTGGCCAACCGCTCGTGGTCGTTTCATTGCTTGATTCATTGCGTTATCGTTCAAATCAGCTCTCCGCTTAATCATCGCCTTGGCCAGAATTTTCTTGTCTAGATCAGCATTGTCTTTCTCCAACTTGGTTATCTTCTCTGTAAGTTGCCATCCGGGAATAACTTTCAGAGGATCGAGATGACGGTCCTCGAGGAACTTCATCACGGATTTCAGAGCAGACAAGTGGCGGTCGTTTGCTTGTTTCTGCAGTGAGAGTTGCGGTAGGTAGAGTCATGTATTCTGAACACAGAGAGGGTGTAAACGTAAGTAAAAATCGTTTGTTTGAATGAAAGAAACATAATCCATACCAGCAGCATGGGCAAACTATTTGCTTCTCTTCTTCTCTTCTTTAGTGCTTCTTTGGATTCCCGAAGGTATGCAGTCAGAAGCTTCTGAGGAGGAAACTTGTCATCAATCCCGAAACTAGATGCCACGTCGACAGCCTCGAGTTTGCCATTTTGTTTTGTCGCACTGGTCATCATATGCTCTATGATTTCTGTAATTATCCATAGAACACATGGGTGAGTATGCAACAACGAGACTTCATTTTCTAATAAGATTATAGGATAAAGAACGGATTCTTACAAAGGGAAAGGGGGGTTGTTCGGGTTATGCTTCCCCTTAAATTTTGACAGAATGATTAAATTCAACGTTACTGAGGAATTTACCCTATACATTTCCTGACAAGACCATTCACAGTTTCCTATAGCTATAATCTTATCAGAAATGACAGACTAATGGAAGAGGAACACCGTTTCTAGTCTATTCCAAATCTCATAGTTCATATGCTTGATATTCTAATGGGAAGAGGGGAAATTTCTGGTCATACCTCAATCCCTAAATCGAAATCCAATTCCAATATGCACAATACAGAATCAGAAACAATAGGCGACAAGCATCAGAGATAAAAACTAAAACATGGTACTAAAGCCAGTAAAAACTACCAGCATGAGAAAAAGAAGCCAAAACTCCCACTTCCAATTGGTAGCAGAAACTTAAACTGGTCCACTGACTACTTTGTTTCATCAATTAATGATAACTTGGAGAATTCTTTCCCTAGGAGAATTCTTCACAGGATTTGCTGTTGTTGACCTGAAAATTATTTGACATGGCCGGGTGGTAACTCTGATACACGCCCCAGAACTTACGAAGTTCGACCAAACGAGCAAATCCGTATAACTTAGCATCCTCCTCTGTTCTGCTAAGTGATTACAATCAGCAGTCTATCTATGGTAGCATGAACCACAATCACA